GGGGATCTCAAAATTTAGTGACTAAAAAGGGGGGATCTAAAGTTTCTTCCTAATGTGAAAGGGGATGCTAGTTTTTACTTGGATTTGATGTACTACGGTATAACAAAATTAATTCTAGTGTGCAAAATAATTACTATCAAATATAATTCAAACTGGAAAAACACAAAGTACCCATGTTAAAAATAAACAGCTACTGAAAAACTATCACTGCAGTAATGGCCTGATTCGACAAGCGCTTTCCTCGGTTATTTTGCAAAACATTTCGCTCGAAATGAATTAAGTGCATGTGCAGTAAAGATAAATTAGGCGTGGCGAGAAAAACTTTCGCTTCGCCAGTGAGTAGAAGTCAGTTCTACTTGCTGCGAAAGCGAATAAAGTGGCCAAATTCAATAGAATATATCGCTTATGCGTAGCCATCCATATTTCGCAGACACAATTTCTCGCGAAGAATTTCGCCGTCGTGGAAACAGGCCTTTAAAGAGTTATATGAAATTTGCTCCATAAAGCATTTAAAACTTATTTTGAGGAGAAGTGAACATGGGGGGTGGGAGGGGGTCATTTTCTGTTTGAATATAAGTGGGGGGATTTAAAAAACAAGTTTTCTAATTTGGGGGCATCAAAAAATTTTAGCCGATTCAAAACGAATCCTCCCCCCCCCCCGCCCCCGCCATGTAGGTATAATGTAGTAATATAAACAGTCAAACTTAAAAAAATGCTTCACTCCTAATGATTCAGTATGTAATTTATTCGCTATTTTACCCGTCGTTTGGGCCAAAATCAATTATTTGGCGAATAGGCTGTTTTTAACTACCACCCCGGTTTCCATTTGATTGAAATCTTGAAAAAAAAACACAATAAAAATATAAATTGGGTACTCGATTGAACGGGAAAAGCTGGTTACCGTGAGACATGTACACTCCACATTATCTGACTCTTTAATTTTTAAGAAAAAATAATAAACAATAAATAGATGATTTTGAGATCCCATTTCGTTTTTGCTTTGCATGCAATAAAAAGTATAATATTACCTTTGTCACGTTGTCTATTCCTTTCAAAATCTTAATTTTTTCGCGATGTTTAAAGGACTTCTTTAATTCCACATTCAAAATATTTATGATCTCATTATTGCCACATAGTAATGGTTCCTCCTCTTTTCGTATATCAACGTTATATTTCAGTAATGTTCGAACTACGGCGGTATGACCATTCTCGCATGCTATACGTAAGGGAGATTTCAATTTCCAGTTATTCAGGTCTTTAATCGCTCCATTTTGGAGAAGGTAGTTAACAACTGACACATTTCCACCTTCACAAGCCAGATCTAGAATTTTGGGCATGTCTTCATTTGTTAGTTCAGCACCATGTTCAACTAAGTATTTAACCATTTCCAATGAACCAAGCTTAACAGCATTGTGAATCACAGGTTTATACCACGTGCTTTCCCAGTTTACATCAGCACCATGTTCAACTAAATATTTGACAATTTCGAGTGAACCAGATAATGTTGCAATGTGAAGAGTAGTACCCAAGACAAGGGATTCAGGATTTACATCAGCAGCATGATCAACTAAATATTTGATAATTTCCAGTGAACCAGATGATACTGCAGAGTGAACAGGCCTACCAACGCGACGATTTTCACAATTTACATCAGCACCATGTTCAACTAAATATTTGACAATTTCCAGTGAAACAGATGATGCTGCAGAGTGAAGAGGACTTCCAAAGCGACGATTTTCACAATTTACATCAGCACCATGTTCAACTAAATATTTGACAATTTCTAGTGAACTAGATGATACTGCAGAGTGAAGAGGACTACCAACATAATCATTTTTACAATTTACATGAGCACCATGTTCAACTAAATATTTGGCAATTTCCAGTGAACCAGATGATACTGCAGAGTGAAGAGCGGTACCAACGTTAGAGGAACTAAAATTTACAGCAGCACCATGTTCAACTAAATATTTGACAATTTCCAGTGAACCAGATGATACTGCAGAGTGAAGAGGACTACCAACGCGAAGATTTTCGAAATTTACATCCGCACCATGTTCAACTAAATATTTGGCAATTTCCAGTGAACCAGATGATACTGCAGAGTGAAGAGCGGTACCAACGTTATAGGAACTAAAATTTACATCCGCATCATGTTCAACTAAATATTTGACAATTTCCAGTGAAACAGATGATGCTGCAGAGTGAAGAGCGGTACCAACGTTAGAGAAACAAAAATTTACATCAGCACCATGTTCAACTAAATATTTGACAATTTCTAGTGAACTAGATGATACTGCAGAGTGAAGAGGACTACCAACACGATCATTTTTACAATTTACATGAGCACCATGTTCAACTAAATATTTGACAATTTCCAGTGAACCAGATGATACTGCAGAGTGAAGAGGACTACCAACGCGAAGATTTTCGCAATTTACATCCGCATCATGTTCAACTAAATATTTGACAATTTCCAGTGAAACAGATGATGCTGCAGAGTGAAGAGCGGTACCAACGTTAGAGAAACAAACATTTACATCAGCACCATGTTCAACTAAATATTTGACAATTTCTAGTGAACTAGATGATACTGCAGACTGAAGAGGACTACCAACACGATCATTTTTACAATTTACATGAGCACCATGTTCAACTAAATATTTGACAATTTCCAGTGAACCAGATGATACTGCAGAGTGAAGAGGACTACCAACGCGAAGATTTTCGCAATTTACATCCGCATCATGTTCAACTAAATATTTGACAATTTCCAGTGAAACAGATGATGCTGCAGAGTGAAGAGCGGTACCAACGTTAGAGAAACAAAAATTTACAGCAGCACCATGTTCAACTAAATACTTGACAATTTCTAGTGAACTAGATGATACTGCAAAGTGAAGAGGACTACCAACACGATCATTTTTACAATTTACATGAGCACCATGTTCAACTAAATATTTGACAATTTCCAGTGAACCAGATGATACTGCAGAGTGAAGAGGACTACCAACGCGAAGATTTTCGCAATTTACATCCGCATCATGTTCAACTAAATATTTGACAATTTCCAGTGAAACAGATGATGCTGCAGAGTGAAGAGCGGTACCAACGTCAGAGAAACTAAAATTTACATGAGCACCACGTTCAATTAAATATTTTACAATTTCCAGTAAACCAGATGATACTGCAGAGTGAAGAGCGGTACCAACGTTAGAGAAACAAAAATTTACATCAGCACCATGTTCAACTAAATATTTGACAATTTCTAGTGAACTAGATGATACTGCAGAGTGAAGAGGACTACCAACACGATCATTTTTACAATTTACATGAGCACCATGTTCAACTAAATATTTGACAATTTCTAGTGAACCAGATGATACTGCAGAGTGAAGAGGACTACCAACACGATCATTTTTACAATTTACATGAGCACCATGTTCAACTAAATATTTGACAATTTCCAGTGAACCAGATGATACTGCAGAGCGAAGAGCGGTACCAACAGGATGAATTCTCCAATCGTAATAATCTAGACCGTTCACATCAGCACCATGATCAACTAACCGTTTTACTTCATGAAAATTTCCTGTTTCCACTGCGATCAGAAGTTTTGACATTTTATACATCTATAAAAAACAAAGGTAATTATGCAACGAATGGACGTAATTTATGGATCATTACGACACTAAGGACACTAGCTGGTATTGTATTGTATAATGTTGTTAGAGCAAATTGTGAATCAGAATGTTTTAATTTCTGATACTACTATGCTTCATTTTTATGCTTCGGACTGTTATTTGGAATGTTCTGTTGCTCGATTGCATGATGGATATCAATTGTCTTAATCACTAGGTGGATTGTCTTAATCACTAGGTGTATTGAAATAAATGGTCAACTAGGACTGTTACTGTTCTATTCACATTTTTTCACCTTACAGGTTATTATTTTATGTTATTGGTATAATCAATGTTTTGCCATTATTATTTTTGTTCTGAATAATACTGTAACCAAACGACTAACAAGTAATAAAATAATAAGACAGGGAGCTTATTAAAATTTGGAAATTATCATAGAATCGACATATGCATGTTTATCGGCGAACGTTATTAGAACAGACTAGTGATAATTCTGGCTGACGAGCACTTGTACTGACTATATTTCTTGTATTGATTATATTTCTTGTCTTACTATGATAAAATTATACATTTTATACCTTTGCTTAAAATGCGGGAAATCGTGCATCATAGGCCATGAATAAAATATTGATCCGTTCGTTATATGCCCTAATTAACGATTTCTTCGTAAAGCGCAGCCCTTGTTGTAATTTTAGGACTACACCACTGTATTATGGTTATTACTTCTTCTCCGATTTGAACATTTACAAAATAATGATTTCAGGACAGTGACAGGCAACAGCTTTCAAAGCATATTCCAGCGCTTAGCCTTTGCTTGGTGTTGTCTATTTTCCCCTCCCCGCGTAAACTATTGTCAGTTAGTATTCCAATATTCAGTTTAATGCCCCTGGGCGTCAATCCTGCGGGAGAGATTAGCGGGGGGGGGTGTCGTTCCCAGTTTTTAGAGTGGGGAGGCGAATATCTAATTATACTCCCACTTTTTGACATGTTTAATGAAATTTTGTTTCTTGGCTAACTAAAAACCTAATGCATGGCATGTTATTCATCCAAAATTGTGATTGAATTGAAAGACATTAAAATTTAAATTAATAGGAAAAAGTACAACGTATGATTTTTCTGTAGCTGCTGGGAGCAAATACTGACATCGCATATGTAATAATTACGTATTAACTGAGTTTCCCTTAATTAGATGATTATCATCAAAATAAGGCAAATAGTTAATTTAATAGATTATTGTCCGGGAGACGACATGTTTAGACTGTGAAGCGTCCGCTTTGTCGAAAGTAACTTGTTCACAGCCTAGGATGGTTTTTAGCGGATTATTCACATGCATGGTTAAAAATGGATTTAAGATCATCCATGCACATTTTAATATAACTTTATAAGTGCCTCCAAAACACTGGAATGCCGTTTCAGTGTACAAAAAATTAAAAAAAAATTTCGGGTAGCATACGGCTCCGGACCTTCCTAGTTTGCACTCCGTCCCCCCCCCCCCACACTTTTTGGGGCACGCACTTGTTAATGGCATTCAGTACTCTTCGCTTCCTTCAATATTGCCAAATAAATGGTTGTGATTGAAACGTAGGCGTTCCAAACTTATACATGCATTAGGTTATAATGAAATCTTGATTTTAATTTCCAACGTTCGATATCGTTGGGTAGTTTTCTTGAGTGGCATTAGATTTAATTAGGTTATGTTTTCGTTCTTTAAATGTGCTGGGCCTTGTATACTATAAGTTCTTTGTCATTCATTGTTTCAGTCTAAAGTCGGTATGTATTCGTATCCTACAGTTGCAACTCTTTGTGTCCTGGCTTCTATGTTTTTCCTTTTGAAATTTTTCTTAATTATTTCATACACCAAGAAGTTTGAAGGTGTTTACTCTTTCTATTTCTATTCCGTGTGTTTGTATGGGTGGAGGTTCAGGACCTTGTCCTTTCTTTTCTTTCAAAAAACTGACCCACTGCATTCCTTTGTTTTCATTCGATTTACCGCCATTTTTTCTTTGGCCCAATTCATCACTTGATTTGTCGACTCCTGTATGTTTGAGAGGGATCCGTTTGCAACAACTTCATCAATGGTGCAGTCATCCCCGTATATTTGTGCGTACTTGTAGGGTTGTTCTTTGTTAACGTATCTTCCAATTCATTTATACGAATATTGAATAGAGTTGGGAAAATGAGTCAGCTGGGCATGGAGCACATGAAGACATACTGTAACACCATAAGAAAATTCACTTATTGAGTTCGCTGCATAAGAAAGCACTTCACCTACGTATGTCCAGAAAGCCTCTGACACATTCATTTCCGTTAATTACTCGCTGGTTAGGTTTCGGCACGCATTTTTCATGATCGGCCATCTCTAATAGTGGATCTCCAATCGCCGATAGCCACAATATACAATATTAATGAGCTGCCTAATAAAAACCAATTTATCCTTTTGAAAATGGCGGACAAAATGTTTCAAACAATTTCGTTAAAATTTTCAACAATTTGTACCTGTTATAATTTCTATGGATTTTGCATTGTGTTTAACTCTGGACATTCTTGCTAGTTTAGTTAATTCATTCTTCTTCTTGGTGCACGACTCTGAAAACTGTTCCGAAATGTGGATCGTTGAATTCCCGTTCACGATCATAATATACTGAATCCGAATATAAACGAGCCAAAGACAATTTCAAGGGAAAAGGTTGTAACTTAAACTACACAACGTATGGGTAGTTTTAATAGATAACTACTTTATGACGAGCAAATTGGTGTCACATCAATATAAAATTTATTCAACAATAGTCCCTAATAGCTAGCTGTGGAAACGCGAAAATTGTCGTGTGAAATATGATATTGTATTTGTAATCCTATTATTGGCGCAATAAGGATAAACAATAGTATTCTACCAATTTACTGCTTTTGTCTTTGAAACCCAAACAAAATTGTATTGTTGACAAATCGCTCAAAATTATTAAACTAATTTAATATAAAAAATGCAGTACGTTTTATCCTAGCTTGATATTTGATAACTTTAGTATAGATGGTTTTCTCTTTTTCGGCCGTGTACCAGTGGATTCGTCTCACTTCTCTCTTCATTTCAAAAACTATTTTGAGCCCAAAGCCCCCCAAATTTTATTTTGAACGTTTTAAAGCTCAGTTTAATCCTAGCGTACTAAATATAACTTTACTTGCAGGCGAAAACGCCGGAAGTTTTATTTGTAGGGCACTGCCGCATTTTAGTACTGTGTCTGGTTCTATAACATCCTGAATTGGGGTCACTATACTAACCAAAACCTCAAACTGAGCCACCTACAATCAGTTTCAAAAGTCTTGGGACAGATGTTAAGTTTAATGGTTGCTAAGGCAAAACGTACTGCTATATAGGTATAGACAATCTACAATCAGGAGCAAAAATTATTGAAACAACCGCAAAAATGCCCCCTCACCCCCAATTCAATGTTGTGTGAATGACTGAAAAGAGGAAATTCAATCCACTTTTTCGACCATTGATCATGGGGGCAGGGAGGTGGCCGACGTACTTTAAAATGGCCAAAAATGTGAAAGGTCTTATTATTTTTGAACGCGATTGAATCACTGATCTAATAGTAGTCTGGATATAGCTTCTCTAGGTGTTAAAAGTGAAGCTAAATTATATAGTCTGGTGGCACTATCCTGGAATAGCCTTATTTTTCACGTTCGATGGACTTTTAGAGTAGAAGCGGGAAACAGGGCTTAAAATGACTATGTTGTGATTCTTTTTAAGAATATCGCTGTTTCCAGCTTCAAATATGGTTGCTAAGTGTGTTAAGGGGGCTTTAATTCGGACATGTGTTTGTTCAACATGAAAACAAGGCTGAGTTGAAAAAAACGTTTTAAAAGCCATAAAAAAGTTTCTTGGGCTGTCTAAATGTCTTTACGACTATTTAGTGTATGAATGTACTTAACATCCACCCAAATCAAAGCTACAAATTTGTCACGTGACTGTCGAAAATTTGATTAATAACTTACTTTACAGTGCCATTTTTAATGTAATGGAAACAAATCGCGGCTTGTAATACTACTGTATGACTAACAAAAAAATTCGAATACACAAATTCGTAAAATTTATAATTTGCAGACATTTTTTCGTTTTGGAATTAAATTCGCTTGTGTATATAATTAACTTTTTGCAACATTAAGTGGCGCCCGTCTGTCGTCGTAAACAACACAAATCCTTACAGCGATTCTGCAGTTGGAAGTATATTAATAAATCAAGTTAAAATATGGAAACTGGTGCATAAAGTTTAACAAAACGTAGAGATTGTTAGGCTTATTAAATGGAAGCGATTGCATCGCTTGCCGCAGCTACAGGCACAGCCAGAACTTCACCATCGCCGGCTTGTTCGTACCATGTTTTTCTGGAAGAGATGTTTTATTTGTCAAAGTATAAAGCATCCGGCAAAGAAATTTCCCCTTTCTCAGGCTTCTGCTGAAGGTATAGAACGTGTTGTAGAGTGTGCAACTATCCGAAAAAAATGCAATGATCTTTCTTTCCAAGACACCATAGATAGATTAAAAAACGTGAATTTGAGTGAAAGCGACAAACACATACTTTGGCACCGAAGTTGTTACACTAGCTTTACAAATAAAGAACACATCCAGCGTCTTCAGAAGCGTGTAACTGTAAGACAAACGCAAGATACCGAATTTAGCGAAGCACACTCAGAAGAATCGCAACATCAACCTAGTCTGAGAAGGTCTCTCGTCGATCGAATGGATTGGTCCAAGTGCATGTTTTGCCAAAACATTGTTAAAGGCCTAAAGTTAAACCAAGTTCAAACATTTGAAACATCACAAAAAATATTAGAAAAGGCTGCCTTAAATCCAGTGATGAGTCGCAGGTTAGCAAGTACAAATGATTTGATTGCCGATGAAGGGAAATATCATTTAAAATGCTACGCCAAGTTTCAAAGAACAACTGCTCAACAGCAGCCTAAACAACAAGAAAAAGAAAGCTGCTTTATCTTTGAGGAAGTTATGTCTGTACTTCAATCTGGGATCTCGAAGGGTAATGTGTATTCTTTGAAATCTGTTTGGACATATTTTTGCAGAAGATATCATTCAGCGTATGGTTTTGAACCAGAAACTTTCAAAAGTGACAGGTTTAGGACCAGAATAAAGGATTGTCTTGGAGATAAAGTAGTTTTTATGCAGCCGCTAAACCCTTCTGAATCGCTTCTCATAATATCCGCTGATTTAGGAGAAGCAGCACTACAGTCTTTGCTTCAGGAAAATCAGGAAAACGATGCAAACTATGAACAAGGTGATCTTGGTGCCGATGGCTTAAAAGACGTAGACCTCGACACGGAGTTGCTATAAGCTGACTTTTCCGTGTAGCCATAAAAGTTCGATGTGCGCCCCTGCTCGTCAGTTCCACTATCGATAGCCACCGTAGATGGAAAGCTAAGGAACAGTACAAGTAAGGCTGATCTGAGTCATATACTGCAAGAAAACACAACACAAAGCCGTCCTACGGACGTAGATGACACATGCACCATCATCGATGGAATGGCTTCCGTACAGGCACTAGGAAATCGGGGGAAATCCACGACGTTCGGCGAATGGTGCGACAAGTTCCATTCATATGTTCTCTCGCACTTTTCTGATAAATGCACAAGAGTTGATATTGTATTTGATCGGTACTTGGACAACTCCATTAAAGGAGGGACTCGTGCGAAGAGGAAAGGTGTAAGAGGTAAAGGAATTAAGAGAAAATTTGAAAGCCGTGAGCAGAAAATTGGAAACTGGGACAGATTTGTTTCTCTCGACGAGAATAAGGCAAGTCTGGCACATTTCCTTTGCACACAACTTTCTGAAAATTGCCAGCAGTTACTCCTCGGTCAAGAACTTGTTGTCAGTGGAGGCTTTAATGACCCAAAGAAAACGTGGAGTTCAATCGGTCGAGATGTCTCCAGACTCGAATCCGACCAGGAGGAAGCAGATACTCGCATCGTTCTACATGCCAGGGACGCTACACTGCGAGGAAGTCAGCAGATCAATGTAATATCGCGCGGCACTGATGTGTTCCTGCTTCTCACGGCTCACAAGCCCCATCTTTGTGAAGTTCTATGGATGGTGTATCGGTACATAGCACCGTGTATGTACCTATCGGTACATACACGGTGCTATGTACCGATACACCAAATCCATGTCACGGAAGACATAAGAGAATCGCTATTGGCATTCCACGCTTTGACGGGCTGCGACACTACTAGTCAGATTGCTGGTATTGGTAAGAAATCTGCGTGGACCGTTTTCGTTAAGAATCATGACCTTCTGGAACATCTTGGCGAAGAAAGCATCGCAAATGACCAAGTTCTTTCCAATGCGGAAACCTTTGTGTGCCACCTTCACAATCCAAATACAGATAACGTGCTCATCAACCATGAGAGAGTGGCGTCATTTAGACGAGCAACTAAAAGCTTGGATTCTCTGCCACCCTCTCAAAATACACTTTTTCTCCACATCAAGCGTGCGCATCTGCCGACATTCATATGGAAGAAAGCCTTGAAACCGTGCCCTGTTCTTCCAAGTCCAGAAGAAAATGGATGGAATTTCGATGACGGCATTCTGAAGCCCACGCTAACGACTGAAGAACCAGTCTCAGCATCTTGCGTACAGCTGGCGTACTGTGGTTGTTCCGCTGAGCGTTCATGTGGAACACGAAGATGTACTTGTGTACGCCTATCTTTAACATGCTCCAAAGCTTGTAATTGCGGTTATAATTGCGTAAACACAATCTTGGAGGAATAAAACGTCTATGCTGAACTCTCGAAAATAAGACATCATATGTAGTAAGGCAAATAGCACTCTTGGCTTACTTAGAAGAATCCTTGGTGAATGTAGCGCTGCTGTTAAGTCAAGAGCGTATACTAGTCTTGTCCGTCCACAACTTGAGTATGCTTCTACAGTCTGGAACCCTTACACCAAGAGGAACATCAACAAGATCGAGATGGTTCAACGCAGAGCTGCTAGATTTGTCTTCAATGACTATTCCAGAGCTAGCCACGTCTCTCCAATGATCGACCATCTGGGTTGGGACAATCTCCAACAACGGCGACTGCTACACCAAGCCACTATGTTCTACAAGATCCATCAAGGCCTTGTTGGAATCAGTCTTCCTGATGACGTGTGTCCTTTGACTAGAGCATCCAGGCTGCCTAATATCTGTCCTTACCGCCAAATTCAGTCGTGTGTCAATGTATATAAGTTTTCATTTTATCCAAGAACAATCGTTACCTGGAATCACACCCCATTTAATAATCTTTGCCAATCAACCCCAAGTTTCAAAACACTTGCCATGCCTTCAATTAAGTCACTTAATGTAGCTAATTAGTATCGTTTTGAATCGTTTGTATTGTACTATATGTTCGTTTTGTAGTCTTAGATTTGTTGTCGTTGTTGTTATTGTCGTTTGTCGCTTTTGCCATTGTTGTTGTTAATAACATATAACAACATCATTCTATAATCACCGCCTAATATATGTGTCGTACAGTGATTATGAAGACTAATTTCTTTTAAATAAATATAAATATTATCTAGTTTTTCAGTATATATAACTCCTCCTAGTGTAGTATAATACTGTTTTAGGAGTATTTCATTAAAGCATTAAAGCATCTGTGTATTCATGTTAAAGGGATATGCCAATAAAAATTAACTTTGTCTTATTTGAAAGAACTTTTAAAGTTATATATGAAGAAGCGTTACAACTTTTTCGTACTTTGCTTGATTTTCGAAATATTTTGATCAAAGACAGTGTGTGTGTAGTCTCTGCCTCGTCCCTCATCGCTTCAGTTGGGAATAGAGATCAGTGGAAAAACAATGGGAGCACGGGGCTTAATGGGAATGCGATAGAACGTGAAGATATTAATCGCGACCGCGTATACGGATAACGGTTGAGGTAATGTGGAAGAGTCAGGTGCAGTCCGCCATCTTGGTATTATAATTGACCTAATTGATGACGTCACAAGCAGGGCAGGCTTTTTAAAACGTCTTCATGTGGGACTAAATTTCTTAAAAAAGTTTCTTAAAGTGTTGTGAGTTAATTAAGTACTAAAAAGATTTCCGAAAATCGAGTTTCATATTCATATTGAAATGTGGTTGCAAGACGAAAAATTCACTTTTTATCCTTCTTGTGACGTACGCATATTGAATGCATATCCAAGATGGCGGAATGCACACTGCTTTTGATCAAAATAAGTCGATTTATTTCGAAACCCAAGCAAGATACGGAATAATTGTAAAGGAAGTTTATATATCATTTTAAATGTTGTTTCAAATAATTTATGTTGCCATATCCCTTTAAATTCCAGTTATATACTTTGTTACGTAATTGTGGAATTTGAGTTGTTCATCAAACAATTATAAATTTTATGAATTTGTGCATTCGACTTTTTTGTTAGTCATATGGTATTATTATAATAGTATTACAAGCCGTGATTATTTTTCATTACATTAAAATTGGCACTGTAAAGTGAGTTATTAATCAAATTTTCGAAAGTCACGTGATCAAGCTGCCAGATCACGTGACAAATTTGTAGCTTCGATATGGGTAAATGTTAAGTACATTCATACGCTAAATAGCTGTAATGTCATTTACACATCCCAAGAATCACTTCCGTGGACCACGGAGTGATACAAATTACTATAGAAATGTATGGCGAACGACGTGAACCAAGGTGAATTTTCCCGAATTTGAGATACTTCGCGAAGTTTTACCAAGCTGATCGCTCCACCACACAAAACTTAACCTGATCGCTTTCCGCCCACAGCAAAGTTTATATTTAGTATCCAATCAAAATGTCGCAGGAGAAATTTAAATTTCACACAACGACAACAACAATCTAATTATAGCATAGGCAGCCCACTAAACGGCTGAATTTAAATTAAAACTGCAATGAACTTATAAAATTAACAAAAATAATCACAAATTAGCGAAATATATTGCAAATGTAGCTTATATTAAATCGCCACCCGATTGCTCTCTCCTCCGCAGAGGTTTCAGTGACTACAATGAGCTTTACATGGCGCTTGCCGTATTTATCAACAAACTGACGTATAATTATAAAGTATACTTTATAACTATACGTCAGTCGATAGTGCAATCTGATGGCGATTTAATATAAGCTACATTTGCAATATATTTCGCTAATTTGCGATTATTTTCTAATTTTACTGCAGTTTTAATTTAAATTCAGCCGTTTAGTGGGCCGGCTATAATTATAGTTGTGATCGTTATAAAATATATCAACAACAATAGTATAATCTAATTAGCACCAGCCAATCAAATGACAGATTTAAAAATCGTTTGTCTAATCGGCCAATCAGCGCTCAGTCCAGATTCTGGACTGAACAACCAGGCAAAATGCCACTTTTGTGTCAGGCCGTACTTTTCTCCCCTTCGCCCACGATCAGGCGTGCCTGTGCCCTAAAAAGTACGGCCTGATACTCAGGTTACTCCACCGTGGGTAAAAGACGTTATGTTAATGCTTTTAAAACGAAAATTATCTAGATTTCCCTAAAATATTGTCAGTCTTGTTCGTTCAAAGTTGTCCATGCGGGAATAATATTTTATCGCCACAGTGGTATGACAGCACAATTTCTAGTTTGCTTTCCAATTACGGAGGCAGAATATGATCTACTATACTCAAGCATACTTTTAAAGGAAAGTTAGTAGTTCATTTTATCATTTATGTTTAACCTTGATCGACTAGAAGGTTTCAAATTTTCAACTATCCATCTTACTATAAAGCCTTCTTACAAAATATATAGACATGTCTTAGTTGGTACTATAAAGGATATTTTTACTTTTAATACTTTTTTATTTGCTATTCTGTTAAACTGGAAGGCAACCTTAATGAAGCTTTCTGTAGAGTGAATCTACTTTAATAGTGTAGTTGAATTTTGAATTAGAACAACAAAATTGATTTAAAATGTGGGGTGTATTTATCATTCAATATTTAATTGAGTTTTAATATAAGAACAAATATAAAATATATTCAAAGTTAATTTGAAATTATTAATAATCTGCTTAATTAAACCTCAACCACTGATGGACTCAACTCACTGATACCAAAGTAAAATTGTCAGGCAACTATAGGCAGTGTGATATTCTGACAATAGAAGATAAAATATACATGCTTTTTTAGGTTGCCTTGGCCAATTATTGATGAAATTATCTCTAATTTAAGTTTCTAATTGCCTATACTTCAAAAGCATGGCTTCCATGACCAGTTGTGCTTAGTTTCGACAATGTCAAGAAACCCCAGGTGACAAAACACAACATTTGAACCAAGGCATGAGAAAGTCCGACAGCATGCTGCCAGGAAATTTTTTTAATCTCATATAGGAAATTTTTAAGGAAAAGCAAGATATCAAGAATGAAGCTCGAGAAATTTCTCTCTGAGAGCAATAAGCCTGGGTACGAGGTACCCTGGGTACGAGGTTGAAATCAAAATTAAAGTCATCCTGGGTACGTAAACATCACAATTAGAGCATAAATACAACAATCATAACATAAAAATTTGTATCATGTGGCAGTGCTATATACGACTGTCTGTTATCATGATTCATGATTATAATACATGTGGAAAACAAGGGTGTACTGCTATTCTTGAATAGTGCATGAATACTGATATAAATTCAGATTTACAATCTAAAAACAAAATTCAAATATTGTTTCATAGAATTCCTTCATGTTCCTAATTCTAGTAAGCCTATAGTTTTCTTAATATTGAGGTAGTATATGACTAATTAGTAAGGTAGTTTAGTATTTTTGCACAAGGGAACATAACAATTCCTACATGTTGATTGGTCAAATCTTTGTCTCAGTGAATATTCCCCGACTAATCACCTTGCCTTCAGTGAATAATTGTCAAATACATGACGCTGTTATTGAATTACAACCAAAATTCAAATTTATTAAAAAAATTGGCAGGAGATTTTTGGTCTGGGAAGCCTACTGCCAGGAAGAAAAATATTTTATCATTAGGCTTGATTTGAACTGCAACCAGTGTTTCTTTTTTGAATACCCCTGGGCTTGGGGTGTGTATAAACCCACAGGCACATGTATAGGGTGTCCCATTAAATGTCCCCTCTGTTGTTGGTTAAGTACTACCGCCATTTGCAATTGAGCGTGCACCGTGCATTTTTTTCGAGTTGTTTTAGCATGAAATTAACATGTAACTATGGGCGGAGCTTCATGTTACTAAGGCGGTTTTATATTAAATTCGACCCCCCGCCAGACAAACATTAGCAACACTTTAGTTTGATGGTTTGTTTACAGTTTATTTGTGCGAAATCATACACACCTTGTACTTTTCGCTTTACCTTGCCAATGCAAAATATTTTTGCTTTGGAAGTAGAAATAAACTTTTTCGTCACTTTAGTATAGACTATTATGTCGGTTAATAGGTGATGTCTACTGTAACCTGAGTATCAGGCCCTTATGTTTTCATTCGCCAGGATTAATTGGCAGCGGAGCCTGATACTCAGGTTATGTCTACTGTATTAATATGTTGTTGATTTCAAGTTTTGTCGCTTTAAAACCAATTTTTTTTGGTTAGATGGAAAACACGGAGTCGGAGTTCCGGAGTTGGAGTCCCGGAGTCGGAGTCCCGGAGTCGGAGTCCCGGAGTCGGAGTCCCGGAGTAGGAGTCGCGGAATCGGAGTCCCGGAGTCTGACGTCATAAAAGTATGGAAAACACGGAGTCATATTGTAACATCCGGGAGTTAGCACTTCCGGCGGGAAAAACGTGACCTCGAGGAGAACTAGACAGCTGTATTAACTAGGGAGTTTTACTTAGCATAGTTGGGTTTTAAGGTTAAAATACTACATTTGGCGACGAGATAAAATGGCAAATCATGGAAAACTAGAAGAATATGACTCACAAGAGGAATGGAGTCAGTATATTGAGCGGTTGGAATTTTATTTCGAAGCAAATGGCGTGGACGACGAAGATAAACAACGAGCGACATTATTGAGTGTTTGTGGTAGCAAGACGTATAAGTTGATTCGGAACTTAATCGCGCCGAATAAACCGTCAGAGAAGACGTTTGCAGAGCTAGTAGAACTTGTACAACAACATCAACACCCAAAACCGTCGGCAATAGTGCAACGATTCAAGTTTAATACTCGGTTCAGGAAACCTGGTGAGTCAATTGCTACGTATGTAGCTGAATTAAGAAGTTTTTCAGAACATTGTGATTTCAAGAGTACCTTAGAAGAGATGTTACGTGATCGGTTGGTGTGTGGAATAAATGACGAACAGATTCAGCGTAGATTCTTAGCAGAAAGTTCTCTCGACTTTAAGAAAGCCATGAAAATAGCTACATCAATGGAGACTGCAGTAAAGAATGCACGAGATTTGACACATCAGATGGCCAATGCAAATATAAATACTGAGAAACCTGCAACATTACACCGTGTGGACAACCAAGGACAAGGAAACCAGCCATGGTCAAAGCCTGAATGTGGTCGGTGTGGGGGTAAACATGACCCGCAACAATGCAAATTCCGCGATGCTGAGTGTTTCCTGTGCCACAAGAAAGGACACATAGCAAGAAAATGTCGAAGCAACACTAAGGAGACTGGAAAACATCAACGAAACGACAACCCTAACTCAGGCACTAGCAGCAACTATTTAAACATGAAGGATGACGAGATCGAAGAGGAAGACGACAACTATGGGATTTATAGTCTGGGCAAAGGGCAAGCTGAGCCATATGTTGTTGATGTACTGGTGAGCAATGAAAGTCTAAAGATGAAAGTAGATACTGGTGCTGCAGTTAGTGTAATGAATGAGGATACATATACATTATTGAAGAAAAAACACCCAAACCTAGAGCTGAAGGAGTCAAAGGTAAGACTAAATACCTATACGGGAGAGCAAGTTAAAGTGTTGGGTCAGGTGGAGACTTCGGTGAAGTATGAA